AAAAATTATCAATGTCTCTTTCCATGGCCCTCTCAGGCAACTCATGATCCTCCTATCACGCAGCATCGGAAATATGGCCACATGGTTGTGCTGAAGAATTAAAACTATGTTGCACTTTCCAAAATGATGCTGGTCGTAAGACAATGAATAAACAAAATCAATGTAAACAACACAATAACGCACTTAAAGTTATGTGACTTAATTACATTATATGTAATCATTTAAAATTGTAGCTGACAGCCGCTTCTTTCGAACATCGCCATCTTAATTTTTGGAGTAGAATATCTTTCGGTAATGAAGTACAGCAAGGCCAAGACATTCCCAAAACTGAAACAGCATCTTGAAACTGCCCACGAAAATTCTTCAATCGAAAACTTAACATTGCGTCATAATTATGCTAATGACAATCGCTTTACCACTTATGCTAAGAGCAATGCTTCGCAAGTATATTCCCATATTTTTTTCCGCTGTTCAATATAAAAATCAAACTGACACTTTTTCGAAGATCGTCTGACGTTTAATGCTGCACCAATGTTTTAACGTCACGTGCAGCAACACCGACGGCTCCTAGAAACTAGCTCTTACTCTAAAAATTTTGCTGAAGCAGCTATGAATGGAATTGGGTCCCGGTCGAAAGCATTAGCGAACAACGCAGCAGTTCAGCTACAAACTACGATTCTACGTTCACTCATTCAAGAAACCTCAAAATCAACTAATTAGGGTTTATCTCGTTATAGTCAATTATAACACTCATCATCGTTTGCCCATGCAGCAGCGTTACAACCAGCCGAAAGCACGCTGAGACAAAATACATATTTTATAGCCCCGTGTTTTTTTTGACAAGGGCGATGCTCGATTCATTGCTAAGAATATGAATGAGCGAGCGAATGTTGCACGGCATGCACGGAATCACAAGAGAACCTATCGTCAGCATTTCGTAAGCGTTATTGCAGTTGGGATGTCAATCTCCAGTAATCTGATGGCCTATGGCAGCTGCATTTAATTTAGCTCATGATGAGGCACCGATTTCTATAATGAGGTCTACAGCCGGGAAAAGTGCGTTTTTCGAACACTACTTGCACAGCAGGCATTCTCCTGTTTCCTGGCAATATAGTGACAATCGTTCCGCTTCTTCCGTATGGCAGAGCGACCGACGAATCCTTCCACCCGAATGTTCTTACATCAGATGCAATAGCCAGTGAACTAGTTTAGGGGGTGGGGAGGGGACAAGTGGATCAGTTTTGTTTAACCGCATCCGCGACTCGTTTAACTGCTTCACCTAGCCTAACTCAATTTATGCTTACGTCTTTCACGTCGGCTAGCTGGAATGAACCATGAGGACTTCGAATTTAGATGCAGGTGATATTCACCTATCTACCTCAGAAGTGTGAAAAATGAGTAATCTGCTCCCATAAAACTCGAACTGTGAATCTATCTACTGCTAGCTTGATGCTGTACCAGCTGATTGAGCTATCCTGATCCGGTGAAGGAATTATGCCTTCAACTTGTCACAGAGGTTTAGCAAATAGCGAAACTGACAGTCGTAATGTAGCAAAATACGTCGAGGTCGAGGTGCATCGAATAACCATATATCATGGCAATTATTTACAAATTAGCAGCATTAGATAAAAAACAACCAGTGTTATGCGGTTGTCATCACAAATGACAGATTTTCAGTTCTGCTAGTAAATATCACATTTCAATAACTGACACCGGATTTACATTGCGGAGGTGCACCGCTCCTTCGCTTTCAGCCACCTAGGGGGAGAATTCAAGTAGGACAGCGCTTCACAGACCGTGACCTGCTTAAGTGGTCCCCTTTAGGCGAGTAGAAGAAAGTGGACAGTGCGTTCTTGTTGTGTATATCAGCCATTGAAATGTATCTACAGGCTATGCTTGTATGAACGCCGGAGTAAATGTGATCCTGATATCTTTTCTGTACTAATGAGATTATTTTTGCATTATCTTCATGATTCACAGATAAACAGCTGAGTAAAATCGAATGAAATCTATTTCTACTACGAATAACTATTCAAATTTTGAAATGTCATAGGCTTGAATAAGAAGAAGTGAAAAGACAATGTTCAAAAGGAGAAATCACGCTGCTCATCATCAGGGCATTCAAATGTATTATAGACATGTGAATGAGACAAATCGCAGCTTGAACGACAGACGTGTCCAAAACCATCCAGATTAATCATATGACTTAAAGTGCAACGCCATTTCCGGGTTGTCGAAGGATTTGTCACCTACTGATAGCATACTGATGAAAACTATTCTTTCTCGCGAGTCGGCAGATTTCCATTCCACGATAGCCGAGGCAGTTCCATGTATTTAAGAAGTTGCAGTTTTGGTGAACAGAGGGAATAAATGAACTATGCCGTACTCGAGGCATAGCAGGTCAAAAAAATATACAGGTGGCTGCTGTAAAGTTACGATTAAGAGAAAAGCACCTTTGGTCGAAATCCTATTGTCAGACAAATCAAATGCATCCGTACCCCTTCAAAACTAGTGTTTCTTCGTTTTGTTGACATAACAACGTACATTCTCGTGCCATAACGAATGCTTTGTTGATATACTGTTACAGACCCTGAAAACACGGACGAACTGAATAAAGTGAATAAAAAAGTTGTGGTTATTTGTCGACTGATGCAGAACCATCAAAAAAACTCGCAGCAAAAATGTTTCTGAAGGGAATTCTCCCATACTGATCAAATATATTACTGAAATTAAATATTCCAGTCCCCCTGCTGCAAGCAGATAATGTTCCAATTACGGAATAACCCAAATAACGAAGTCGGTAGTTTACATAATCCTGAGTGGCTGCGGCAGACGTGATGACAAGTTAATAGCATCTGAAACTGCAGAATCTTTCTCGAAAGTTCTCTGTAGAATAAAAGCAATCTAAACGTAAACCTATATAGAAGGACTGGGAGCAAACGTGTATATTAATCCACAAATAAAGCCTGCTGAAATCTTTCCAAAATTCTGCCTTTATTTTGAACAAAGAATGACGGCTTATGCACAGAACAAACAAAGGCTGACTAATGACTCCGTGATAATCTTGGTTAGGCTATTAAGCAAAATCTGCCCTGACGAGGAACACTCCTACTACAAACCCGGTTAGAAGAAACCAGAGCCACTGGGAACGTTAATTCACACAAAAAACATTGTGAACACAACAACCTCATGAGTCGAGGATGGTGGTTCATGGACAGAGCAGTACCAAACAATGTCTTAAATATAATATTATAAAATAAAGACATAAACTGATATCCATGATGTCTCGTGAAACTGATTTCAATTCTGTGTGTCCTGATTCAATAAATTGGCGCTTAAATTCTTTTAGACACAAGGAAGCAAACATAGAGAAGTCAATGAAATAACTTCTTCTAACTAGATCTGTTCGTTTCCTGTGACAAAAAAATTGAAGTGGCAATATATCCATAATATCATTTTAATGATCATAGAAAGGGAGAACCAGAAACACCATATTATTCAGACTTATATGATCATGCCGTTCATTACCCTGAACGTTAAAAGTTGTATACGATGATAAAGAATTCATATTTTTGTTGATTGGTAAATTTTGTGCAAAAAAGCTGCCTAACCCCCTGATGCCAAATATGTAAGTAGGAAATCGATATGCTGTGGAATGCGTTACAAAGCAGTCAGCAACAATTATGCCAGTCGAAACTTGTTCTTTAGTACGTCTCTGCTGCCCGTACCGAATGAAAACTCATAAGGTACTTGATTTTCGATAAATTAGCATGACTGCTTTCCAGTCACTGAGTAAGCCGTACATATATGTTAATTTACATATGCTCCATTTACATATGTTCTATAGTCAAGGCTGCTGATATTAACGAAAAGATTGCGATGCTCAAAGCAAGTAGCAAAATTAAGATTCCTTTCCTTCGAACGGTTGCTGCGGTGGCGATAAGCTTCAGAATGAGGTATCTCGAAATGAGATCACAACTGCTACGGCCTGAATATGGGCAAAGCCGACTGCCAAGTTACATGGAGGCTAACAAGGATCCATACATATGACTAATGCATGAAGCATTTGGCATTGCCGCAACAGGACTTCACTCCGTGCAGCCTGCCGAATGACGAAGGATTGGGTCATTGGCGAAACCTCGATGAGTAGCTGCCACGTGATTCGACAGGTACAGCGAACACTGAAGAGGAATGGACGAAGTCGCTGATCAAGTCGTCGCCGGCTTTTGTATCTTGAACATTACTGTTCAGTCCACGTGTACAGTAATACAAAATCGCTTTCTACTGTGCATAGGTTATAACGAAAGGTTAATCCTATCATTGAATGGTACAGAACCATTGGAAAGAGAAGAAGGCTTCTTCATTCTTTCTGTGGTATCCTCTCGCAGGATTAAAGACAAAAAGAGGATGACCTCCAAGCTGATCTATGGCTTGGTTGCTGCATCCATTTGACCCCTCTCCCAGTTCTGATAGCTTTTCTACTCGTCATGTAAGGATGAGGGTCAGATTCTGCCATGCTCTCAGGCAGCGACAGAATGGTACAATCCTAATAAGAATGCTGCTGGGTGATCATTGAAAATAGATCCACCTTCCTCGTAAGCTCTTGATGCAATCCATGTCTTAATTCATAAAAAGACACTGGTGCGACAGTGTGACCCTGCCTGTTTCAAAAACTACGTACAAGTATGAAGTGAATCTTGTAGAAGGTGTTAACTGTTAAGCAAAGAAAGGACCAATGGCACCATTTCATGGTTACCGTACGGTTCGCTCCGAGCATGTTAGCAGTAAGTTAATTAACATGCCGTTTATGCTGTTGTTAAAGGAAGCTGAAAGCGATCACTCGGTGCTCATGCAAAGGCACACGTGCTAGGAAGACAAGCCCGCCACGTCACCCCAACCGGTCATTTCCAGTAGTACCGACAAAAAGACGAGGGACAAATAAGTGAGCATGCATAAGGCAAATATCCTTGCTTACACGTAATTATTCAGGTAGATATAGAAACCCCTTCGGTTAACCTTCGCGTCTACCCTGGCGTTTGTTTTCACGCAACAGGTCTGTCTAAAAAGTCATCAGTCACATGGTACACCTGAACGAAGCATGGGAATTCACTGAATGTTTTCTGAAGATGACTGTTCTGGAGGTTGTGGCCTGAAAAATGCTTCTTCCTCCGTCAACATCTCCCTGAACGTCTCGTCCAAGTCCGTACGCCTTTAATCAGAGCGTGCTTTAGGAAACGTTCACTGTTGCATCATCATCATTATTGTATCGTACATAGAACTACACCTTGTTTTAACGTCCTTTACTTCCAATAGCGGGTCTTCGCCGTATACGTAGGAGCTAAGGCGGCTGAAGCAGAAGCATTATAAAGGAGAATGTTTCCTCAAGCAGACTTTACGTTGCATTTAAATCCGGCTGCTGTCCTTCGTCTTTCACCGAGCAGTCGCTGAAAGCACTGTCCATTCCCAAGGAAGATATGTTGGAGAACTGATCGCTTAACAGCATTACCCTGAAACGATAGACTGTTCACCAAGACCCAAGATTCGATTGTCATTCCTGCAACGCTCGAATATAATAATACGTTAGAACACTTTGATTAGCGGTCGAAGATGAGGCGTATTTCTACCACCTCTCATACCTGAGAATATTTCTTCCTAACATAAAAATGAAATATACCTTAAACAGCTACATAATTAGCATATATTTAAATTGAGCTCTCGAGCTAATAATGGCTTGTGTACAGTCATATCGTTGGTGACACAGTAAGCAGAAGCGGAAGTGAGTACTACAAGTTTGCAACTATGTTGTCTAGATATTGACGCGGGTCAAAATGCCAACTTTAATAACAGGACAGGCAAAAAGGTAGAAGTTTTGAGAATCAGCTGTTGCCGGCTTGTGGTTAAAGCAAGTATCTGAGATCACGTACATTATGACAAATAAGATTTTAGCCGTCACATTCTAGAAAGATGTTCAAAACATCAAAATATGGCGCTGGCATTCACCACCACCGATAGAAACATCCAACCCATATTATTCAGAAGGTACGTTAATGACGCATTCGCCATCCATGGAAAAGAAACGGAGATGCTTTTCCCGGATCATATCTACAACCTGTATCCTAAAGAAATCATATTCATCATGGAAGTGGAGAATAATGGATAAACATTTTCATTCATTTTTGGACTCATTGATCACGACAATGAGTACGTTATTGAGGTGCTCCACAAGCCGGCCAGTATACCAGTAAATTCATGCCGTTCGAATCCAATCACGCATATTACATAACGATTGACATCCCACGGCACCCTAGCCAGCAGTGCTTGGAACAGACCTCAGATAACATTGGAATCCAAAACAACCTATATCCGGAAGCTCTCAGAGACAGTGGCTACCAGGAGTGACAAACAGAAGAAGCAATCAGCAGCCAACGAAAGAAGGATCTAGAAGTGAACAATAGAATTCAACACCAGCACTGTCGTCCCTTACGCTCACCATGTAAGCGAGTGTTTGGGGATGATCACTTGAAAGCATGGGATACGCAGGGTGTTCAGATTCCAAAATTGGTCACGGAGCCAGATGATACCGATAAGCCACCAAGTCAAAATACAGACACCAGGGATCAATCTAAACCTTACCTTGCAAGTGTGGTTTCAATTACATAAGAGAACCGGCGACCAACACCGCAGACGAGTGAAAGAACGAATATGTAATTATGTAATAAGGTAGTACAACGCTGATCTACGCTAGAATTAATATGCACAGAAAGAAAAAGGGCGAAAATAAACGAAAGATCCGTAGGTGCAAGAAACGCTGAAGGTACTCGGCAGCTATGATCTTATGAACCATGCAGTACAGAAAAAGACACTGCAAATTATGGAACCAAATGAAAGTGATATATCGAAAAATTTTCAAGCATGAAGATAGAACATTGATAGGTCAATCAAACCACCTTCTTAATAAAGATTCTGGTATGGAACAAAGTTATGAAGCAACCTCATTATTGAGGTTCAAACTTCCCGAGCGAAGTTTGTAACTGACGGTACCGATGTCTACTCTAACATTTCATTTCACAATGTATCTCTGCTGAACACGGATCGAGGATGTTTCAAAGGTCGAAGAATTTTGACGTAATAAGTTCCATACGTGTGGCATCGCGCAAAGCACCTGTTGAATTTTGGATTTAAGCTTTAGTGCAAATGTTTTGAACCTGATCACAATAGGGAAACTTGCAAGGGTTGGCCAAGCCATTGTTGACCATGCAACGTTTTGAAATGAGTCGAATGTAAATCCAACACAATGAAACAAAGAGATTGAAGGAACACCTCGGGTTGCCAACCACGATCAGTTAAAAAAAC